ATTCCAATCCCTTCTACTAAACTTTTAACAGCACCTTCAACAAATTAACCAGCAAAATTAACCAGTTTCAATGACGCTATAGGTAGAGTAGCACTTATTTAAATGTTTGAGAGCTGAAGTGTTTCAAATTTCAGATTTTGGGGATTTTGGAATATTTGTATATACGTAGTGAGATATCTTAGAGATGGGACCCAATTCTAAACATGAAATTCATTTATGTTTCAGATACACTTTATACACATAGTTTGAAGGTAATTTTATACAATATTTTAAATATTGCTGTGTTTTGACTTCAGCCAGTCACATGAGTTGTAGAATTTTCCACTTGTAGCATCATGTTGGCATTCAAAAAGTTTTGGCCAGACATGGGGTTCACACCTGTAATCCCAGCACTCTGGAGCCTGCTGGTTCAAGGCCAGCCTGGTCTACCTTGGACAAAACCCTGTCTCAAAAAAAAAAAAAACTTTGAATTTTGGTGTATTTAAGATTTGGAATTTTTAATTACAGATGTTCAACTTGTATTAAAAATTACCACTGGAAAACTTGATGCTAATTTATGGCACCATCAGTATCTTACTGATTTATTTTAATAGACTAATCTGTGATCTTGAAATCTGCTTAAGTAAATTTAATTGACAAGATTTGGTTTTAAGTGAAAATCTCAAAAAAAATTCAATAACACTTTATTTTCTAAGCTTCTTATTTCAGTTACACCACTTAAATACCTAATAAAATTACTGATGCCAGGTGCATTGGCTCAAGCATGTATTCCTAGCTACTTGGGAGGCAGAGGTCAGGAGGACCATGGTTCAAGGCCAGCTGGAGCAAAAAATTCATGAGATTCCACTCTCAACCAATAGTTCAACATGGTAGCACATGCCTGTCATCCCAGCTGAAGAAGCACAAATAAGAGGATCATGATCCAGGCTGGCCCGGGCATAAAGTGACACCCTAACTCAAAAATAACCAACACAAGCCCAGTGCAGGGGCTCACATCTGTAGTCCTAGCTATTTGAGAGGCTGAGATTGTGAGAATCACAGTTGAAGGCCAATCTTGGCAAATAGTTTCGAGACCCTATCTCCAAAATAACCAGAGCAAAATGGACTGGAGGTGTGGCTCAAGTTGCGTAGAGTGCTTGCTTTGCAAGCACCAAGCCTTGAGTTCAAACCCAAGTTCCTCCAAAAAAGTGGAGGAGGGAGTGGTTCAAGAATGCCTATCTAACAAACACAATCCCAAGTTCAATCCTCAGTACTACCAAAAATAAATAAAATTGTTGAGTTTTACCAAACAACTGCTAGCACTAATCTCCTCACACTTTAAATAAAATGCAATGGAGGAGATGAAGGTGAGGGAATGTGGTTGAGAGGCTTCATATACATATAAAGAAATATAACAATGAAACCTCTTGCAATTGCTTTAAGTGGGATGAAGGGGTGGGGGGGATAGGAATGGTGGGGGCGGTCTAACCAATGTACACTGTAAGCGATTTGGGACGGTCACAATGAATCTCCCCATGTACAATGAATATATCCTAATAAAAATGAAATAAATAAAATGTATCATAATAAACATAATAAAAATGACTTTTCAGTACTAGTTTAAATTGAACGCAAAAAACTCTGAAGTCCTTCCATGAACCAGGAACTGTCCTACCACTGACCATACAAAAATAAAAAGTCTTTGGTGGGATGTGATAGCAAATACTTGTAATTCCAACACTTGGGAGGCTGAGGTAGGAATATCTAAATTTGAAGCCAACCTGAACTACACAGAAAGACACTGTCTCAAAAACAAAACAAAAAACCCCCCACAGTCTCTACTCCCCAGAAACGTAAAGACCAGAGGAGGAAAAAGCACTTAAATCAATAAATAATTTTCATGTTAAGTGGTTGAAGTAGCCACAAAAGGAGAGGCCCTTAGCCTGGGTGGAGGGAGGTGAGGGACTGGGTAGGAGTGATCACCAGAAGGCACTAGGCAGAAGTCATCAGTAGAGCTTTCATGGTGATGATGCCCAAGCAGAGTCTTGAAAGATGAATATATAACGAGGTAGGAAATGCAGTAAAAATGTTAACAAAGACATGAAAGTGTGAAGCAGATTGTTAGATTATAGGAAATGCAAGTGGAAATTTTAAAAAATTATGTTTTAGCAGGACCACATGGCCTTTCTGTGGCTGTGGTTCTCTACAACTTTGCCATTTCAATCTCTATATGCTTATAACAGAGGGCAAGAAAATACTACCTGGAGGCTAAATCTCTATTAATCCTAACTATCCAAAACATAGACCTGAAAATGAAAAAATGGCTACCACAAAATCCATGTGATAGGAAGCAGAAACTGACATCAAGAAAAAAAAATATTGCACAATAACTGGGAACATTTAGTGTAGGGCATTCAGCATTACAGTTTAAAATCCCTGACAATAACAACTGTATGATACCTTACCTGATAGTTCAAATCATGACCCAGAGTCACTGAGATAAAGTTATCTATTGCGTACCTAATTAATAAAGCAGGAGGCTGTGCAATAAATACACTTAAAAGATCTCTATCCATATCATTAAAATATAGATTTTATATTAATCAGAAACCTGTTATCTGTGAAATTCATCTTTGTGACTCATTTAATTTCCCAACCAGACCAGAAAAAAGTAATGTTATTATAGCACAAACAATAAATTTAGGGATAGAGTCTTTGAATAGAAAATATTTAGAGTTACTATGAGAAAAGACAAAAGCTATAGTTTTTGGTTTATTACATGAATTAACTCTTCATTTTCATATGACAAATATTTCTACCTTAGAAGATTATTTCATAAGACATTTTCACATATAGAAAGTCTCAATAAATGTGGAAAGATGAATGAAAAAATGGCTATGTACTGAAGGAATGACTACAATACAGTCTTACATTTCACAATAGGCTGTAGTGTATTAATTTGGCCACCAAATTAGGCAAAAATTAAGACATTCCATAAAATATTTTACTTTCTTACATTGGGTATTTACTATGGGTCAATCTCTATACTAGCGTGAGACCATAATATCAAGATAATATAACATATTTTATTTTAAATGTCAAAAACATGCGCAAGATCAGTAGATCTTGGGTGGCTACAGTGAACTAGACATTTTACTATATCAAATACTCTGTCCTCAAGGACTTAATGGTAGAATAGCCAAATTCACATCCCTAACCTCTTATTTTTTTATTTAAACTTTTAAGGTTTTGCATTAACCCTATTATATGTCGTTTATCTTTATGATCTATGAATTTTAGTCTAGTCATCTAAACTCGTAACTTTTTAAAGTAACTGATCTGTATTCTATCTCTTTCTACCTTACAGTCTATAAATTCTGAATTAAATTCTATATAAGTTTTCATTTCTTTCTTCTTCAGAAAGTCCTTCCCAGGCTTATCTAAAAGTCTGTTAGAACATGTCTTAAAATATTTTATTTAGTTTAGCTTATTTCCCCTTGAAAAAGTGAATCTGGTAATATTTTCAGAGAAACTCCAGTTTCTGTGGACTTACATGATTCTGTACATTACTTTTGATAAATGATATGGCTAAGACTTGGAAAAAGGAGTGCTGGAGAACTGATTTATAACTTTATAGAAACTAATTATTTCTAATAATTAAGGCATGAGAGCTTTTTAAAAAAATATTTTTTCCATAGTATACAGCATCCCAACTTTTTAAAAAACTGTATGTGGCCAATTAAACCTTTGCATGTTAAAATTACACTTCATAAACCATTATTGAAATGTCCAAAGTGTAAAATTTTTACTCTTTGAACCTGATAATTAAAAAAATTAAAAGCATAAAGAATTTTTCACAAGAGAACACATGAAGCATTATTCAATAAGGGCAATTTAATAATTTCTCCTTAACAAATACATACTGTTTATTGAATTATCGTTGGGCACTTTACTTAGAGAAAAAAATGTTTATATGAGTTAAGGCAGTAAAAAAAAATTGTAGGCACACCCATGTACAAACTGAGGACTTGTGAAAGTAAAACTTTACCTTTTCGATCCGTGAACCAAAGTACTTAATCATATTTTCGTAATTTCACAAACTCTAGAACTAAAGATGCCAAAGATCAAGGTTCATTTTCAATGACAGATCCTTCAGTTATTATGAAGAAAATATCCATGATGTTTGTAATATTTTTTACATTAATGCTTGAATGTCGGTACCTCATTTTTAAAATAAAATGAATACATTTCTCAAATTCTGATTGAATAAGTGTCACCTCCTCCCGCAAGTTGAGATGCAGCTGCAATTTTCCAAGTTTAAGAAACACTTGTTGAAAAAAGAGTATTAAAAAGCTTACATAGCAGCGTTAAATTTTCGTTATCCCAAGGAAGGACACACTTAAAAGTTTCTGAGAAGCAAGAATAGTTTTATAACTTCCAAAATTAATCCAAATGAAAACTCCTAATGTGAACCTGTTTTTTTTTTTTTTGGGGGGGGGAATGTTGGAAAAAAAGGCTCTAGCTCTGAAGCAACTGCGGTTGCCAACCACCTTAAAACTACGTTTTCCATATGATAGCACTGACCCTTAAAAGAAAAAAGGTATCGCCTTTCAACTCAAAACAAGTCAGTCAGATTAGCTTAGTTCCAATGGACAGCTGAAACCATGGATGGAAAAGCATCCCAAAGTATTATTCTGTCCTAGGTCTGTTGCCAATTCAGGGGTGCCCCCAAAACGCTCTTCCTTTGCAGACTTACGGTTGACCACCCCCTCCCCGCCGCCTCCATGTCTGACAACCCCGAAGAAATAAAACTGCGGAGAAATGAACACTTTTCAAGGTTGGAGAGGTGGGGGGGGCGGTGTGTGGGAGCGGACGCGTGTTGCCCTCTGAAATACCTCATATTTACTTTTGACAAGAGAAATAAATAGAAGCAAAACCGAGATTCAGAGAGCACTTTCTGCTGCGAGCACCGCTTGAGCTTCTCAAAGACCCCTTAGAAAAAAAGCGTGCTGGAGGCTCACCTTCCATGTCGTCGCCGGGCTGCGCTGGGCTGGAGCTGCCGCTTTGGCTTCCCGGCCTCTCCACGTGCTGCTGCCGTCGCTGGGACGCAGTGCGCAGCTGGCGGGAGATTCCCAGCGCGGGGAGTCCCCGGGATCTAACGACGCGTCGGCGCAGATTGAAGGGGCAGGAGCCCGCGACCTGCCGGCCGGTGCGCGGGGTTACAGCGGCGCTGGCTGGCGGCGGCTTTAAAGGACGCTCGTACAGAGCGAGCGCCGCAGGTTCCGCACCTTCAGTCCTCTTTGAATGTCAAGCCCGAGGAACCCGGATAGCATGGAAATGGCGCATCAGTAATTTTTGTCTCAGAATGGCTATTTTAGAGGAAGAAAAACAGATGAGAGTGTAATATCTCATGGGGGTGGGGGCCTGCACCACTTTCTTGGCGAGCTCAAGTTCGAAAAGGTTTGTCTTCTTTCAATTGAAAGATCTGGACCTTTTGGTCTAGGTTGATACATAGGATGATGCCCACAAAAACCATCAATGAGAACTCATTTCACTGCAAGTGTTATTTGTGGGAGTTCTTTCCTTCTTCATTTTTTTCAGTTCACATGATCAAAGTTCTTGGTCCAAGTTTTCAGAAAGACAGTTCAAAAGCATTTTGGCACTGTTATCAATCCAATTTTTTTTTAATTTTGAGGAGCAATTCTCTCTTTTGTTTTCTTTTCTGGGAACTGGTTGGTTTGTCCCTACTCACAAAACATGACTCTATTTATGTGTGTATTTATTTTCTACTACCCTGCTTTCTTGTAATTAGGACACCTTACAAACACACACACAACACACACATATCAGAAAAGTAAGTAAAGACAATAGAGTTGGGAGGGAGTAGCAAGGTAGTAAAATCAAGAGAAAGATGTCTGTTCACAGAGATGTACTAGTTGACATTTTTTTACAACATTCCCCCCACTTTATAGAGGTAAAACACACAGTTGACTTTAGGGAGAGGAAGGAGAAGTGACCATAAAACAACTTTTCAAAGCAGAACGTTTCTTCACTTGGAGGTCTTAAAAGATATTATTCAGGTGTGTCCTGCTAATGATGCCCAATGCGTTAGATGGACAATATACAAATGGTTCCACTGCCACCCTTGCTAGAAAATTATATTGTTAGTGTATAGAAATATATCTGAGACATAAGTTCATGCATCCATATCAGAAGATATGTGCCAACCATACAGAAGAAACACATACTTATGAGTAAAAGCATGCACACTAACTTTATGAATTTAACTTAATTTTAAATAGCACCTTAGTATAGGTGGTCTATGTAATACATACTCTCTATGTGTATATAATGAGTGACTTACACTGGCTTTAAGATCACAGCACCACAGCAGGTCTTTATAGCTATATGAATTGGAGTTCTATATAGGATAATATCAATTTCAGAGAAATACTCTAAACACTGGGTTTAATTTTAGTACTGAAAGGGGAAATTTGTTGTTTGTTAGTTTCTAAAAGCAAAAATAGCACATCAAAAGCAGCAGAAGAGGAACTGTAAACTTTCACAGGGATGGTGAGGATGAATAGTTAATTTGTTATTAAAAAGTTATAAAGAATATGCTATGTTTCCACTACAGTGTTCTTTATTGTGGAATGTGTAGGTACTCTGTAAATAGTTTACTTAGTTCAATATTGAGCATTTCAGACTCCACAGAGTGAGACATAAAGGAATACATCAAAAGTAGATGGGTAAAATAGTCGATATATGCAACCTACACTTCAAGAGTGGGGAGCTACTCAGCCTCCTCAAGGGTGAAGTATAGGTTTCATATAGTGACTTCTTGTCACAGAGTACAGTATGAAATGGGAGGGCACATAACTTTATAGTGGAGAAACTGACAAGCACCATCTCAGTCAGGAAATCAACATCAATGGCGATAAGGTATGATGTAATGAGAATGTCACTTTATTAGTTCTTCTTCTCAAAAACCCATAATCCTATCTAATGAGAAAACATCAGACAAATTGCAATACAGAGACGTTCTACAAAATACTTGACCACTTTAGGCTAGGACAAGGTCATGAAAAACAAGATAAGTCTGAAAAACTATCACAGCCAAGAGGAATCTAAAGGAACATGACAATTAAATGTAATGTGGGATCCTGGTTGGGACCCTGGTGAAGATAAACTAAGGTAAAAACCAAATAATTGTGAATAAAGTATGAACTTTAGTTAATTCTAAAGTATTGATATTAGTTAATTTTGAGAAGTATATAATACTAATGTAAGATGTCAATAATGGGGAAAAGTGGGTAGGGAAACATGAGAATTCTGTACTATCTTTGCAATTTTTCTGTGAATCCAAGACTTCTAAAAACAAACCTCATTTAAGAATGAATAGGTATTTTCATCAAACTACTCCTTTGGTTAGACTTCTTATAGGAATCAAAGTTTATAATACAAGATTTATAAGGATTAACTATTTTACAATAACTAGAAAGTCAATAAAACACTGTAGATTTGCAATGTACTTTGTTAAAAACTGGAAGGACAAACTTCCAAGGAATCTAAGAGAATGCCTAAATTTGCCTTCATTATCATCACCTTAAGAAGGGAACAGTTGAAACTAAACCATGAATCTAGACATAATAACTGACTTTGGTTGGATCTGACTCATTGAATCACATTTCATGCTTATGCTATATAGGTAAAATTAACAGTGACTAAAACTGAAATTACTGACAAAGACTGCTCCTGGACCATCTGAGATAGTCCAAATACTGACTTGGCTCAAAGGAAATAAAACTGAAAACTCTTGATCTCACCCAAAATAACCATTCTGCACCCTATCTGAACCTTGGGCTTGCTACCTACAACCTACTCAAAACCACTACAGAGGGTTTTGAAAACAGACAACACACAATATCTTTCAGGCCACCAAACTAGTAGCCCCAAAGGAACCATGAAAAATGAGGTCATGATCCCTTTTGCAGCTCCCTATTGACATATCCATATCCAAAGGAAAAGCAGATCTGGAACTCATGCCTTTCAATGGGGCCCATTTTCTAATGCAAAGTTACCTCCAAATAGCCAGGCACCAGTGGCTCCCTAGCTACTTGGGAGACAGGTATCAGTAGGATTGAGGTTTGAGGTCAGCCTGGGCAAATAGGTGGTGAGAACCTACCTCAAAAAATACCCAAAACTAAAACAGGGCTCATGGAGTAGCTCAAGTGGTGGAGTGCCTGCCTAGCAAGCGAGAGTTCAAACTCCAGTACTGCACCCCCCCCCAAAAAAAAGTTACCTCCAAATAAATTTGAACGGGCAGGAGGTGTCTATCACCATTGCAAACTCTGAAAATGAAGACTCAACCTTCCTCTTTATAGAAGGCCTGGAGGTGCCATGTCAGAGCACTAGTGATTCTTGGGTGGAGAGAGGTCTTGGTTTTGTGGGCAGAAGAATGCAGTTAGGTCAAAGCTGGGGTGTGAAATTGGGCACAGTTTCAAAGAAAAGTAAGGTATACAAAATTTCCAAGCAGAGATCTTGGCTTTAAGAAAATTTCACAAGCTTCTTCCTTCCTCAGGACCCCAGGCCCTACACCATCACGATCCTTGGGACCTATGGTGTTTTTCTGTTGGCCCCCTAAAGAAGTCCCCTGGAAGTCTTGGGTGCATTTTCTTTCCTCTCTTCTTCCCTTCAGCTACTCTCACAGAACTAAGCCGTCGAGAGCGCGGGAAAATGGCGCCAGCCCAAAGGCGTGAAGGACTCACGTGACACGACTGCGCATGCGCCAGGGGCGGGGCTCTCCTTGCCACGTTCACTCCACCCCGCCCGCGAGGCCGGAGCACGCACGCGCAGTGTGGCGCGCCCGTCCCAGCGGTAGATACTGGCCGGTAGGGGAGACAGTCCCTGGCCGTTTGCTCCTGTCTGTGGAGGAGCGGTGGGGAAGTGATGCGCTAGGGCCAGGGTAGGAAAGAGCCTGGCCGTCTACGCCTCCCGCGACGCTAGTCCCTGAGCCGTCATGCGAGCGTGGGTCCTACTCTTCGCGGTACTCTGGTACCTATTAGGAGGTGGGACTCTTCCCGCCCGCCACCCCCCCGGCCGGTTTCCCCCTACGTTCCGCCCCCATTCCCAGGCCCGTCTTCTCTGTACCTCCCCAGTATTGTCTTTTCTATCTGAGAGACCCTGTCCTTCCTCCGTTTCCCCCTGCCCTGCCCCACTCAAAGCCCTGGTTCCTTTTCTAACTAAAATGTCAAGGGTTTCTTTTCTCCGCAGTTGGGTTGCAGCGTTCTTCTTTATTTGATAAGAAAGGCTTCGTTTATGGCAAGCTAGGACACCCAGGTAAAAGGACCTCTTCACACGCAGGGCCTATCAGAAGAGCTGGGGTTGCCCTGGACTTGCTAAGGTTCTCCCCGAGGGGTCGGGGCATCTACTCTGTGCTCTACGGTTTGGCGAAGGTTTTGCACCGATCCTTCCTGATGGCGGCGCTAGCCTTAGTATCTCCTTACCTAGAACCCTCAACTCTAAGAAGTCAGGATTCACTGCACATCTCTTGCCCTGATGACAACACCCTTCCCAGGTGTTTCTGTTGCTTTGCAATGTGCAGTGAGTGGCCCACTCAGAGGAGTGATTTCCAGAGCTGGAAGTCCCTCTGTTTGCAAGGCTCTTCTCTCCTTGTATCTACTAGATCTACTCATCCGTTAAGGTTCAGCTCACATGTTACTCACCGTGGTCTAACTTTTGCACACTTCTCAAAGGAAAATTAGCCACACAGCTACTTTTAGATAACTTTGAGCTACTTCGTAGTATTTTGTTAGTTTGGAACCTTTCCATATTTGAACACTTTTCCCTTCCCAGCGCCATCACTATACCACTAAGTTGTAGAATATGGTCTTTATATATTCAGTAAGCTTTAAAATTAATATCTTCTGGTACTGCATTGGTTCCAAGTATACCATGGCCACTTCCACCAAACCTGAATCAGAATAAGTAACTGCAGAACACCTTCCTAGTGTGTTCCACACAGGCTTAATTATTGTTGCCAACAGAGGAATTACAGTGGAGGAAATTATCCCCAAATTTCCCTTGGGGATAATGATTATTTCAAAAATAGTCTTGCAATCAAGCTCAAATCCTTGACTGAACTTTCATTCCATTATCCCTTCAAAAAAGTATGATTAGAATTCTGAATCTATACATTAAAATGAACTTCTGAATGGGTCCTGTACATTTTTATAAACTATAATATGGAAGAAAGAAAAATCCATGAGTAAAAGTATAACGTTTTAAAAACTTACTGTGAGAAGTGAAAAGGCCTTCATTCTAAATGACAGCTAGCATTCTAAATGTTATAATAATTTTTTAAGTACTGAAATCCAAAACTAATTAGTATCCTTGGGACAAAATAGTATGAGTTCATTTCTTGATTTTGCTATATAATATAGTTATACATTATTTTATTTTGTCACAGTGAAAATATATGTAAAATTACATCAAAATAGCCCAGTCCTTATCTGTATGGATTATGACCGTGCTAGTAAAGAAACAGTGGACCCCACTTATTTATGGGTTGGACCTAATGAAAAGACATTAACAGGTAAGATTTCGTTTGTTTGTTTTCTAAGACAGCATCTTGCTATGTAGTCCAGACTGGCCTAGAACTCCCTATGTGGCCCAGACTTGTCTAGAGCTCGCAATCCTCATGCCTCCACTTCTCAAATTCTGGGATTTAGGAAAGTACCATCATGCCCAGAAAATAATTTTAATATGTCCTTTATTAATGGTATGAACATTGTTGACTAATATATGTCTTGGTTTGTGTCTCATGTTTTTCTTATGCAAAAACTAAAGCAGTGGTTTGTGGGGTTTTTTTTTTCAGTGCTGGGGATTGACCCAGGGCTCAGCTCTACCATTGAGCTACACCCCCAACTGTAAAGCAGTAATTTTTGTACCCTACTTCTCAAAGCTGTACTAGTTCAGAAGTTTTTACAGAACCTAAAACTTATCCTTTCAGCACTGATAATAGGAAATATGTAATATTTATTTTTCATGATGTTAGAAGCGTGCCTTGAGCTCTATACTAATTTCTGTCTTACATGAAGAAATTACATCTCACTTACTGAATTATTGGCATAAACCAATTGAAACTAGATGCTAAGAAATGAGTGAAAGAAAATTGATATATATTTCATTGTACCAATCTCATGGTTTTTCATAAAGATGACAGAATAAACATTTTGTTGGATTCTTGAACTTGAAATGGCTCATTTAAAACGATATGTCTATTTGTAACCGCAAGTTTACTAAATAATGTTTGAATTATTATTTGTTAAGTAATCAAATAATTTACTATTTCTGTTTAGGAAATAATCGAATAAGTATAACAAACACAGGAATGTTGATGGTGAAAGATTTTCTAGAGACTTTGTCTGGACTTTACACATGTACTCTTTCTTATAAGAATATCAAAGCAGAAACCCAAGAAGAAAGTGTAGTAAAGAAGAGATATGACTTTATGATATTTGGTAAGAATATAATCACACTTAAATTCATACATTTAGTTGGAATCAGAATTAAGTGTAAGATTTCTTTATTTAGTCAAAAATGGTTCTAATACAGGTAATTATGGTTCTAATACAGGTAATCATTATGATTTATGAAGTATTTTGAGATACATTTGACCAGGCAAAATCTTAAGTTAACATCAAGATGTTTGTACTAAATAATCCTCTTTCAGCTTCCCGCTTCCTACTGCCTGGGTAAGTAAGTACAAACTACTTTATCACAATTTTAATAGGTAATTTAAAATTGATATTTAATTTTGCAAAAGCAATTAATGATCCTTTCACTGGTCTGAACTGACAATAATAACATTTCTGCAATTTAAGACCTTTTCCAGAAACAATCTGATTTTTTTTCTTGTTACTATTAACTTATCTATATAGCCAACCTACAGAAGTCACCTCTCTTCCTTTATTTAGGTGGTACTTGGGTTTGAACTCAGGGCCTCATTCTTGCTAGGCAGGCACTCAACCACTTAAGCCACTCCACCAGCCCTGTTTTGTGTTGGGTATTTTCAAGATGGGGTCTCACAAACTATTTGCCCAGGCTGGCTTCTAAATGAGATCCTCCTGATCTCTGCTTCCTGAGTAGCTAGGATTACAGGCATGAGCCACCTGTGCCTAGCTCATTTTGCCTAAGTAGACAACACATCAGATGGAAATAACATTTTTTCATTAAAATTATTTTATATATTTCATGAGGACAAATTGATAAAACATTTCATCAGGTAAGTAAAATTTCTATGCTGATTTGCAAGATTGGTGAAATTTAATATTACATGTTTTTGGAAAATTGTTTGGTAGAGGATATTAATGATAGTCACTTTTTTTATTCTCATCATTTTTCAAAGCCTACCGGGAACCTGATTATTCATACCAGATGGCTGTGCGTTTTACCACAAAGTCTTGTTTAGGAAGATACAATGACCTCTTCTTTAGAGTGCTGAAGAAAATCTTGGATAATTTAATCTCTGATTTGTCATGCCATGTCATAGAACCATCATTTAAATGCCACTTTGTTAAAACTCCAGAACATGACTTCATACATGAGCTATTCATAGCCTTTCAAGGTAAAAACGATCTTTAAACATTTCTTTAATTTTATGAGTTTAGACCTAAACCATGATAGATTATAAAACTAATTATCATATGAATGAGATATCTTATAAATAATAAGCTTTAAATGTTTGTTTAGCACTAAGAAGATATATTGTTGCCTGGTTGTGGTTTTAAAAATTAACTATTTGCCTTCAAATATGATACATTGTTGCTTATCATTTAGAAATCAATATCATTTTATTAATATAGCCATAAGTTAGGCAGCTAATATTTCACTTATAACTTCTTACAGAATTTTAAATTGTATTTTTAAGAATTTAATAAGAAGGAGTAACTAAACCAAATTTATTTCTATTTTAAAGCCTTGTGGTTACTTTCATAGCCCACAGATGGAGTAAATTCATAATGTATAAATTATTCAAATTGTACACATTAATTTACTACGAGATTTAGAGGGCTGTATTAGATGCATGTATACTGAATAAACATCTGGGGCTTTATTGAAATGTGTGGGACTTTTTAAGAGTTCTTTTGTGAACCTACCATGTTTTCCTCTCCAGTTAATCCTTTTGCACCAGGGTGGAAAGGGGCATGCAATAACATGTCTGTTGACTGTGAAGACATCACTAATCGTAATATACTCAAGGTGAGAATTTCATTATAAGGGGAAAGAACTTGAATATCCAATAAAACTTTTTATAAATTTTTGTAAATATTTTATTTCATTAATTTGAAATGTCTTGATAGGCTGGAGGTGTGACTCAAGCGGTGGAGCACCTGCCTAACAAGAACAAGGCCCTGAGTTCAAACTCTAGTACTGCCAAAAAATATTTTTTCTTGCCAGGTGCCAGTGGCTCATGCCTGTAATCCTATCTACTCAGGAGACAGAGATCAGGAGGATCATGGTTCGAAGTCAGCCCTGGGCAAATAGTTCACGAGACCCTATCTCCAAAAAAACCCATCACAAAAAATAGGGGGCTGGCAGAGTGGCTCAAGTGGTAAGAGTGCCTGTCTAGCATGAGGCCCTGAGTTCAAATCCCATGCCACCAAAATTTTTTTCTTGAAAATTTCTTTTTATGTTGTGACTGTCAACAATAAAAACATTTGTAGGAGTAAATTATTCTCTTTTAAAATCTTAATTATTCAGCAGTATTTTTAATTTTTTTAACTGAGATTTTGAGATTATTGGCTATTTGATGACGTATTATTTTGTAGTAGTACATCTGCAGTATTATATAGCTCCCAAGGTAATATTGTACATTTTACTTATAACAGAAGGACGAATCCCTGGTTTCTGTTCCCCAAATGATAATTATACAGCAGCTTAAAGAACAATCTCACAATCATGTCATCTAGATTAAACCAATAGTTATTCCAAAATTGTATACATACTAGTCATAGTAGTTGAGAGACTAAGGACAAAGTCTGACAAACCCCTTACTCTTCTGTTTTTGTTCCTGAGACCATACCTTTAGTGTTGTGTATGGCTTATGGGAAATACTAGATTAATATTAGTTATTATTAACTCTGTGTTCCAAAAAATAAAACAAAATTCACATCATTAGTTTGTAATGATGACTAGAGAAAAAGTCTTGGTTTTACTTGTAAGGCTCCTTTTTTCCTGATGATCATATAGAATTAGAAATAATGGGCTAGGCATGGTGACATACACTTTATTTTTTGGCAGCACTAGAGCTTGAACTCAGCCTCACACTTACTAGGCAGGTGCTCTACCACTTGAGCCACTCTGTCAGCCCATGGTGGCATATACTTATAATCCTAGCACTTGGAAGGCTAAAGCAGGAGGACTGAAAGTTCAAGGCCAGCCTTGGGTACAGAGTTCCAGGCCAGCCTGGGTTACATAGTGAGACCCTCTCTCAAAAAATAATAATATGCTGGTGGAGTGGCTTAAGTGGTAGCATGCCTGCTTTGCAAGTATAAGGCCCTGAGTTTTAACCCCAGTACTGCCCCTATAAGCCAGGCATGGTGGTTCATGCCTGTAATCCCAGCTACTTGAGAGGCTGAAATAGGAAGATCATGATTTTAAGGCCAGCCTGGGAAAAGATAGTGAGACTCTGTCTCAAAAGCAAAATAAAATTGATGGAGGCATGGCTTAAGTGGTAGAGCACTTGCCTACCAAACACAAGGGTTGAGTTCAAACCCAGTACTGCCTACAATAAAATAAAAGGACTGGGGGTATAGCTCAAGTGGTAGAGCGGTTTCCTATCATGCATGAAGCCCTGGGTTCAATCCCTAGTTCTGCAAAAGTAATTACATATGAATTGACATATTACAAGTAATTCAAAACAATTTCTAACTTTATTTTTTCTTATCCACTTTACATATGAATTGACAGTAGTTGGTAAGGTCTCAACTAGACTAATTTTAGACTAATTCTTAGTCTTTTTTGCAGTACTAGGATTTGAACTCAGGACCTGCATTTGCTAGACAGAAGCTCTGTCATTTGAACCAGGCCCCCAGCTAACTTTCAGTCTTAACACGCAATTTTTTAGGAATTCATATTGTCTAAAGCATGGCATGTTTATACTACATTTCTTTACCTCTGACAAAGGAAGAGGAGTTTGATTCGTGGTTTATATTTGTACTTTTCTCTGATATTTTTAAATCTTAGGCAAGAGATCGGATAGAAGAATTTTTTCGGAGCCAAGCATATATTTTCTACCATCACTCTAATAAAACCCTACCAGCTATGCATTTTGTGGACCATAGTTTTCAAGTAGTACGCATGGATAGCTGTCGACCAGGCTTTGGAAAAAATGCAAGTCTTCACAGCAATTGTGCTAGCTGTTGTGGTAATTATCAAATATAAATACCTACATATCTAGGTTATATAGTAAGAAGAATAGAAGAGTAATTCATTTAGGATAATTCAATGTTTTCAATGATTCTCCTGCAAAAAAGGAAGAGAAGTAAAAAATTCAAAGCCCAAATTTCTCACTGTAATTACCTTGTAACTCTTAGTAATGTACTCTTTATTTTTTGGATGGACCACTATTCTAGCTATTGGAATGAAAGGCATGCATTGCCACTCCCAGCTTTCTTCCATTGAGATGGGGTCTCTCAAACTTTTTTGCCCATGCCAGCCTGGAACTGCCGTCTTCTTGATCTCAGCCTCCCCAGTAGCTCCCATCATTGTTATTTTGTCTTTTGGCAGTGCTGGGATTTGGACTTGAGGCCTTGCACTTTGCTAGGCAGGCACTCACTCTATCACTTAAGCCATGCCACCAGCCCTTTCTCCTATCTTTAAATCATCAGATTATAAACTTGAAACTCATAATCTTCAACAACTTAATGGTTTAACATGTATATATGGGTATAGAAATGGTGTGATAGTGAAGACAATTTATCTTGTTGGTAGAAAATACTTCTAAATTATAATAATCCATTGCGTGTGTTTTCTTTGCAGTGGTTTGTAGTCCTGGAACTTTTAGTCCTGATGTTGATGTTACTTGTCAGATTTGTGTTTCTGTTCATACCTACGGAGCTAGAGCTTGCCCATAAACTTCATAACAAAAATCAGCATGTGAAGACTAGAGGTGAAAGCACTGTTACTTGCTTGTGGAGGTGGGGAACCTAAGAGTTTATCTATGGTGCACATCCCAGAGCAATTCCATAAAGTAAGATCAGTAAGACCAAAACACTGGAAAACATGTATTTTAGAACTTTTAAAAAATAGTTGACATGCATTTCTAAAAAAGTATTTAATATCTCTAGTGTACAAAGGAAAAATTTAAGTATTAATGGAAGATTTTTTAATGAAATATATTTTGTTGTTCACAAAGTGAGTTTTGCTTTGTACCTAAAACTATATTAACATCAAGAAGAGTAGCAAAGTATAATAAAAATTTTGTATTTTCCATATATTAATTTGTTTTGAAATCACTCATATAAGGACATGTGTCTTATCTTTTATAAACAAAAATTATTTTCATCTTTTTGCTTTTTAATGATTAGTAGAATTAATTTTTTTTAATATAGGCTTAGGTTTACTGGATAATCAAACAAAGTTTTATACAGCTACTCTACACCCTCATCCTTGCTTGCATAGCTTCCCCTATTATTAACATATTGCATTAATGTAGCATGTTTGTCACAATTAATGAACCAATACTGATAAGTTACTGTTGACTGTAGTCCAAGGTTTATATTAAAGTTTAATTCTCCGTGTTACAGATTTTGGCAAATGCATAATGACATGTTCACCATTACAGTTCATACAGAATAGTGTCACCACCATAAAAATCCACTATGTTTCAGCTATTCATCCCGTTTGAGACAGGGTCTCACTATGGGGACCAGGCTGAGCTACTCTCTATGTAGCACTGGTTGACCTCAAACTCATGAGCCTACTGCTGCTGCTTCCTGAGTGCTGGGATTATAGTTGTGCACCACCACACTTGGCTGGTGCTGTGCTTTTAACTGCAAATTCCAAGTGTTCATTGCTGGTTTATAGGAATGCAATTGATATTTTGGTATTAACCTTAAATCCTGTAACCTAGCTATAATAATTTATTAGCTCCAGAAATTTTTGTCAGTTCTTTGAAACTTTCTGCATAGATAGTCATTCATGGGTTGGGCATGTAGCTCAGTGGTAGAGCACTTGCCTAGCATGCTTGAAGCTCTCAAGGTTCAACTCTCAAAACGGGGAAAATAATAAAATTAGAAGATAGTCATGTCATCTGTGAACAAAGACAGTTTTACTTCTTCCTTCTCAATCTGTGTATCTTTTCTTTTCTAATTGTATTAGCTACACTTCCTATATAGTGTTGAAATAGGAGTGATGAGCAAGGACATCCATGCCTCATTCCAAATGTTAGAAGGAACACATTCAATCTCTTACCATTAAGTGTGGTGCTACTTTAGGCTTTTTGTAAATTTTCTTGGTCAAGTTGAGAATCGCCTTGAGAAATTCCCTTTATTCTTAGTTTGCTGAGAGTTTTGTTTTTTTAATCACGAGTAGGTAATGGATTTTGTCAAATGCTTTCTCTACACTTATTGAAATGATCATATGACTTTTCTTTCACTTATTAGTGTGATGAATTACATTACATTAGTTAATTTTCAGATGTTGGATCAGCCTTACATATGTGGAATAAATCCTTCTTAGTCATTTTGTATAAATATTTTCATACATTATTGGATTTAATTTGCTAAGATTCTGTTAAGAATTTTTGCATTTGGCTGGGTACAGTGGCTCACACCTGCTACTTGGGAGGCAGAGATCAGGAGGATTGCAGTTAAAAGCCAGCCTGAGCAAAAAGTTAGTGAGACCTCCATCTCAACAAATAAGATGGGCATGTCAGAACACATCTGTAATCCCAGCTATTCAGAAGACATTGAAAGGAGGATCAGTTTGGGGGCCTCTCTGGGCAAAACATGTGAGACCCTTTCAGAAAAATAACTAAAGCAAAAAGGGCTGAGGGGATGGCTCATATGATAGGAGCATTTACCTTGTAAATGGGAGGCTTTGGATTCAATTCCCTCCCGCCCCCAAAAAAGAATTTTTACATTTATGATCATGATACATATTGGTCTGTAGTTTAACTCCTTTAATGTTTTTTTTATTTTGAGATAGAGTCTCACTAAGTAGCCCAGGCTGGCCTTGAACTCAAGATCCTGCCTCTACTGGGATTATAGGCTTGTGCTACTACACCCAGATTCCTATAATATCTTTATCTGGCTTTAACATTAGAGTAATGCTGGCCTAATTGGATGAGTTAGGAAGTGTTCTCTCTGCTTTTTTTTTTTTTTAAATTGTAGAGAATTGGTATCATTTCTCCCTTAAATGTTTGGGACTTTTACCATTAAGATTATCCAGGGGCTGGTAGAGTGGCTAAAGGGGTAGAATGCCTGCTTAGCAAGCACAAGGCCTTGAGTTCAAACTGTAGTACTGCCCACAAAAAAAGAAGAAGGAGGAAGAGGAGGAGGGGGAGGAGGGAGAGGGGGAAAGAAAGAGGAGGAGGGGGGGAAGGAGGAGGAAGAATTCAAAATATTATCCAGGCCTAATAAACAAAAAAAAGTTTTTTAATTTAAATTAAAAAAAAGATTAGTCACACCTGGTTGAGCACTTGCCTAATATGTGTAAGATCCAGGTTTGATTTACTAGCATAGGAAAAAAGTATTTGAACCTGTACTTTCTGCCATAGGAGTTTATTAAAATATATTTCAGCAGGCGGGGGGAGAGGGAAGGGGCGGGGGGGTAAGGGAGGGGGTGGGAGAAGGGAAGAGAAATGACCCAAACATTGTGTGCACATATGAATAAAATATATAGATAGATAGATAGATAGATTCAGTGCTGAATCTACTAATTTTTATGTTTTTCATTTTTATTTGCTTAAAAATATTTTCAAATTTCTCCTGAGACTTCTTTGACCCATGTGTTATTTACAAGTATGTTATTCAATCTCCAAATATTTTGGAATTTTCCAGCTATCTTTCTTTTATTCATTTTTAGTTTAGTTCCATTGTGATCTGATAGCAAACTCATATGATATCTATTCTCTTAAATTTGTTCAGGTATTATGTTACATCCCAAAATGTGTGTGGCCTGTCTTGGTGAATGTTCCATATGAGCTTGATTTTTCTGTTATTGGATCAATATTCTGTAAATGTCAATTAGATCCAACTGATGGATGGATTTTCTACCTGTTGAATCTGTCCATTACTAACAGAGAGGTGTGGAAGTCTCCAAGTATAATAGTGGATTCATCTATTTCTCTTTGCAGTTCTATTCATTTTTGCCTCACGTATTTTGACACTGTTGATAGGTGCCTTCATACTTAGGGTTGTTACACCTTTTCAGAGAATTGACCCTTTATCATCGTGTGATACCCCTTATTATGCCTGATAATTGTTCCTTTTTTTTGTTTTCAAGTACTAGTGTTTGAACTCAAGGACTACACCTTGAACCACTCCACCAGCCCTTTTTTGTGATGGGTTTTTTCAAGATAGTCCATGAGCTATTTGCTCATGCTGGCTTTGAACCACAATCCTCTTGATCTCTGCTTCCGGAATTTCTAGGATTTATAGGTGTGAGCTGCTGGCACCTGGCTCTGATAATTGTTCTTGCTCAGGAGTCTGCTTTGTCTAAAATTAATATAGTTACTCTAGCTTTCTTTTGATTAGCATTAGCTTTTTTACCCCTTTAACCTAAAATTATACTTAGTTGCTGCAAAATGTTTTAAACAAAGACTTCTATCAAGGTGGTGATACCATATATTCTTTGTGAGCTCTCTTTGTTCCCTGCATATCTATATATAGCAAATTGCCAATTAATATTGATAAATGTTTTATTACTTTCTCTACCACTATATCTTTCCAAAAGAAAGTGTTCTGGAAATGCTGGGGGTGGAACTCAGGACCTCACTCAGACTAGGCAAGTGCCTAACACTGAGCCACATCCCTGACCCCACAAAAATACTTTTAATTTTACCATTTATTGGCAACTAAATTTTATCAGTACTGCTTATGTATCCTGTAGTGATTTTTCCCAGTACATTATGTATTTACAATGCTGCCACTTAAGGTAGTTTTATCCTAGCATAGATATTTCTTTTTTACTTCTAATGATGTATGGATACTACTTTAGGAATAATTTAAATTTACTGAAGAAAGGCATTTCTGTTGAAAAGATACATACATGGTTTCAAAATAGTCATGACTTTCTTAAGTCTAAGAAAATTAATTCAATAATTTTGAGGTCATGATGTCTACAGAATTACATTTTGAAAAATGCAGTTGGAAAAATGCAATACCTCCTATTCAAGGTAGTTATGATGAATAATTAGCTAGCTTCTCACTTATTTTTTTTTTATTTAGAGAATAGTTTATTAGTTTCTGTAATCAAACCCACATAGATAAGACCTTACATATTTAATACAGTGCATTACCCCTGTACAAATGGAAAAAAAAATTAAGTTTAACGTTTCTAGACCAATATGGCTATTAATTTCTGTACAATGCCAACTCAACACAGTAAACCGGGATACTTTTTTCCACAGTTGACAGCACAGCTAAAGTTTCCAAAAATTCAAATTATATATATATGTATATATATATATATATTTATATTTATATAAAAAGACCAATAATAGCAGTATGTTATGCATCAATAGCAGCAACAGCTTTTCCAGGTTCTGCAGTCATCTGAACAAAATTGTAGAGACATCTAGCACACTCCATTAAAACAACAAAAAAACCAAACCAAACCAAACCAAAACAACAACAAAAAAAGTGAAAAAGTAAAAAAAACAAAACCCCAGAAAACAGCAATTTTCTGTTACTGTTGTGGTACCTGGCACCATTTTTTTTTATTAGCTTCTCAATCATCATTTAGAAAGAAAACATTCTAGAGTAACATCATTAAAAACAGCTCTGATAAAGCACAGTCACTACTACGTATCATAAAGCAGGTGCAAGATACTTTACATTCACAGAGGTATGATACAGTACTGTCCTACATCTATAATACTAGAGGATACAATTAAAAGGGCATTATTTGA